TCTTTTGGTTTTTATAAGGAAATGTTGGAGTTGTACAGAATGTTGGTCAGGCCACAGCTGGAGTATTGTGAGCAGTTCAGGTCACCTCACTACAGGAAGGATGTGATAGCACTAGAGTGGGTACAGAGGAGGTTCACCAGGGTGTTGCCTGGGCTGGAGAAATTGAGCTACAAGGAGAGACTAAATAGGCTCGAATTGTTTTCATTAGAGCAGAGAAGACTAGGCCAGTTCTGAGGAAGGGTCACTGGACCCGAAATGTTAACTCTGGTTTCTCTTCACAGATGCTGCCAGACCTGTTGAGCTTTTCCAGCAATTTTTGTTTTTATTTCTGACTCCCAGCATCCACAGCTCTTTTGGTTTTTAACTAGGCCTATTTAGTCCTTCAAGCCTGCTCCACCATTCAATATGGCCACAACTGATCTACCAATTCAGACCCTTGTTCCTGCTTTCTCCCCAAACCCCTTGATCCTTTAGGCCTTAAGAACTATATCAAACTCTTGAAAACATTCAAGGCCTCAACTGCTTTCTGTGACAGAATTCCACAGGCTCCCCACTCTCTGGGTGAAGAAATGTTACGATATCCAGCCAGAGTTGGTAAGTCAGGCTCACCAGGAAGCCACATTCCCAAGTGATAGGCGTCACTGGCTCAGCCAACGCAGCAGGGACCATATCACCATCAACGACGGGAGAATTGCCCATCCCTGCACAAATCACAGGGCAACTGCTAATACTGACAATGTACAATATCTTACATTGCCTTGCGATACTGTAAGAATTTCACACAAGCTGTTAGCTTCTCTGAACTTGGAGAGCACAGAATTCTCACATTCTCATGAACGAACTGAAGGAACCAGCTTCCTCAAGAGGACCACATTGGCAGATTGCAGTTCTGGTCTACACTGTGGGCCAAGGGCAATAATTACTGAGAGATGTAGCACTAGGCAAATTAATACCCATGTACAATGGTTTGTAAACCAGGCGATGACCATTCAATCCCCTGGCTGACTGCTTTCTGTCCTATGATTTACATTACCAGGTGAAGAGTTCACTCCTCTGTCTCGAAGCTTCATTGGAAAAAGAACTTGCATTTACAATAGAAGCTTTCAGAACCTCCATCTGCCTCAAAGCACTTCACACAACAAAGTGCTTTGACCAGACAGAACAGAACAAACTCTACCGAGGCTGAAAAATGAACAGTCAATGTACAGCCAGTGTGATCAGTAGAAAGATTTAAGCAACATTAAACCACAATCTTAGGAAACAATCCTCAGGGATTTCTAATGAAAAGACAATCCTACAGATGAGAATTTACCTATTTATACCAATAGATGAATGACTGCCAATTAAAAGCAGATAGCTAAAGGTTAAAGGCTGTGGATGAGTGAAGAGAACGTGCCTGATGCCACTGTGATAACACAGCAACTGGGCCATCACCAACGCCATAGACATGTTAGTCATTGACAGGAACCACTAATCCCCCGACGCAGCAAGTCTGAAACACATGCTGTCCCTGTCCTGGGAGTGTTTGATGGTGACAGTGTTGAGAAAGGTTTACTTTCAGTTTAAGAGTAGAGGCAGCTTTACTCTGTATCTAATGCTGTGCGGTACCTGTCCTGGAAGTGTTTGGGGACGGTCTTGAGTGAGCTTTACTTTTAGCTTAGAAAAGTAGATGAAGCTTTACTTTCAGGGTAAAAGAATAGCATGAGCATTACTTTCAGGTAAGAGTAGAGATACCTTGACCTTCTGTTTAAATTAGTACAGCACCCTTCACATGCTGTTTAAATGAGTAGAGAAAGCTTTACTCTGTATCTAACACCGTGCCATCCCTGTCCTGGGAGTGTTTGATGGAGACAGTGCAGAAAGGTAAGATTGTGGAGTTTATCCCACTTGTAGGAGAAATCCCTGAGGTTTTTTCAGCCCTCTCAGTTTGGTTAATTTTAACATCTTCAGTTTTTACCTATCACGCCATTCCTCCTCCCTCTCAGTCATCACTCTGCTCAGAAACACCACACAGATGAACCTTTACCTGGAAGTTTGCTACGATACAGAGCCCCAGGCAGCTAATAAGACCCAGCAACAGGCCTATCCTATTCAGTCTGATGATGATGTTTTCCTCCTCCTGGGTTAGAGCCTCTACCTGTTTGTATCGCACATACATTGTCACCAAACCTGCAAAAGGAAGGGAACAAGAGACATCAGAGGTCAAACTGCAAGGTTCAAGTTCTTTGACTTCAATTTAAGTGGTAAGGTGCAATCAAGTACAGTGGTTAGGTTGTGGACTAATCATCCAGAATTAAGCCACAGAACATTAATTTAAATCCCATTATTGGTACTTTAATAGATAGGAATGAGGAAACTTTTTTTTTCTCTCAGCGCGTTATAATTCTTTGGAATACCCTTCTCCAAAAGGCAGTTGATGCAAACCTTTACTTTTTTTTTTAAGGCGGAGGAAGGTAGATTGTTGATGAACAAGGGGATGTAACGGGATGTAGAACTGAGGTTAAAATCAGATCAGCTATGATCTTATTGAATGATGGACCTAGGCGTTCAGCTACATAATTCTTCGAAGCTTGCATCACTTCTAGACAGGTTGGTTGAAAAGGCGTTTAGCACCTTCATTTCTCAAACCTTTGAGTATAGAAGTTTGGTCGTCACGTTAAGGTACAGGGCATTGGTGAGGCCTCTTCTGGAGTACTATGGTGAAGTTCTGGTCACCCTGTTATAGGAAGGATATTATTAAGCTTGAGAGGATTCAGAAGAGATTTACCAGGATGTTGCTGGGTCTGGAAGGTTTGATCTATAAAGAAAGGCTGTATAGGCTGGGACTTTTTCACTGGAGTGTAGGAGGTCAAGAGGTGACCTTATAGAGGTTTATAAAACCATGAGGGGTATAGACAGGGTTAATGGTAGATGTCTTTTCCCTACGGTGGGGGGAGTTCAAAACTAGGGGCACATTTTTAAGGTGAGAGGAGAGAGACTTGAGGAGGACATGAGGGGCTCAGCCTAACACAGAGAGTGGTTCATGTGTAGAGTGAACTTCCTGAGGAAGTGATGAATGCAGGTACAGTTACAACATTTAAAAGACATTTGGATAAGTACATGATTAAGAAACGTTTGGAGGGATATGGGCCTGGAGCAGGCAGGTGGACTAGTGTAGTTTGGGATTATGTTCAGCATGGACTGGTTGGACTGAAGGGTCTGTTTCCATGCTGTACAACTCTATAAAACTGTATGGAGCAGGCTCAAAGGGCAAAGTGGCCTATTCCTGTTCTGTGTTCATCGGTTTGTTAAACAAACCTAGTGACTTAAAAGTCATCCCTCATACTCACACCAGCACAAAACCACTTATTTCCTGCCTACGTTCATTTTCATCAAACCCTCAAATGTAATAGGTGCAGAAGGAAATCATTCAGCCCGTATTCAGTAAGACACAGCTGTGTGACTGTGGCATTAACTCCACTTTCCTGCAAAAGTTTGTCAAACTTAGCTTACCGAATGTATTTGATTACCCAGCCTCACTGAACAGAGAATTTCAAAGGCTAACAATCCTTATCATTTCTGTCTTAACACTTGTTTTGATACCGTACCCCATAGTTTTAGATTCTCTTCTCCCCACAACAAGGGCAAACATCCTTGCAGCATTCATCCTGTCAAGTCCCCTCAAAATCTAACTGAAGAAGAAACTCAGTAGGTCTGGCAGCATCTGTGGTGAGAAAGCAGAGTTAATGTTTTAGAGTCCAGTGACCCTTCACCAGAACCTTCTTCAGGATCACTAGACTCAAAAACGTTAACTCTGCTTTCGCTCCACAGATGCTGTCAGATCTGCCGAGTTTCACCATCAATTTCAGTTTTTGCTTAGGATTACCAGCATCTGCAGATCTTTGTTTTATGCCCCTAAGAATCTTAGTGGTTCCAATAAGGTCAATGCCCATTCCTCTAAATTCCAATAAGTATAGGCCCAACCTGCTCAATCTTTCCTCACATGCTTCCCAGGTAACATGAGTGAACCTTCACTAAACTGTTTCCCATGAAAGCCTATCCCTCCAAATTAAAGGGAGAACAGAACCATACATAGTACTCTGGGTTAACGAGTATAGTACTCTGGTATTACTCTGGGTGCAGTCTTACCAATGACCTGACCAGTTGTAACAAAATTTCCTACTTTTATTCCCCACCCTTTTCCATTAAAAGTAAAATTCCATTTGCCTTGAAAACTGTACCTGCACATTGACATTTGTACGATTCATACAAGGACATCCAGATCCCTCTGTACTGTAACATTCTGTAAACTTGCTTCATTAATGTTGCTTTTCATTTCTTTACAACAAAATGAACTTCACATTTTCCTACATTATACTCCATCTGATAAATTTTCCCCTCTCAGTCTCCAGCCCTTTGCACACACTTTCTGCCCGAAGTTTCTGGAGGCTATAAAGAATGGGAAGTGTGAGGTGTAGGTGGACTGGGTGGACGGTGACATTTCCTGATGACAGTGGTCAAGGTAGCAATGTGTTAGTGAAGGGTCAAGCATCATACCAGCCTGGGGGTGGGAGTCTGTCATGGGGAAGGTCAAGCAGGGATTGAAATATGGGTGAAGGGCCTAAAAGGCAGAGTTAAGAACATTTGGGTCTTGGGAGGTTGAATTGTGCATCAACGGTACACCCTAATGATTAGTTATATGGAGGAGACGTGAGTGAGCTCCCACATGTCCACTTGTCGCAGCCATCAGCATTGGGTCTTCATGCTTCAACCTCAGGGAACAGGAGGAGAAAATGTGGTGAAGGGGAGCTCTCGTTATCCAAAAACAGAGATAGCTTGACCATCACCACACTCAACATTAACTACAAACTGAACTGGACTAATCCATGTAAATGCTGCTGTTACAAGGGTTAGGTCAGGGACTGGAGATTCTTCAGCGAGTAACTCACCTCATGACTTCCCAGAGCCTGTCCACCATCAACAAGATATAAAATCAGGTGTGTGATGGAATACCCCCCACTTGCCTGGATGGGTGCAGCTCCAGCAACACTCAGAAGCTTGACACCATCCAGAACAAAACAGCCACTTGATTGGGACCACATCCATCACCTTCAGCATTCACTTCATTAATTATTGACACACAGTGGCAGTAATGTGCACCATATACAAGATTCACTGTAGTAACTCACCAAGACTCTTCTTCAGAATTGAAAGGGACTGGAAAATGATGGTTAATGCACATATTTTAACCCCTTTTGTTTATTGCTGGATCTCCGTTCAGGTCATCGACCTGAAACATTAAAAACCAAAAGAACTGTGGATGCCCTCCAGACTCAATATGGAGTTCAATAATTTTAGGGCCTAAAAACTCTCCCATGTCCCAGCCCCCCACCCCACACACCAGGCCTTGTTACCACATAGCCTGCCATTACACACTCCCTGTTGTTAGTCACTAACAGTCCCCATTAACAACTATTCATTCTCCCAGTCTGATCGTTAGCAACTCCTTTGTCTGTTCAACGGTCTCTCTCTCTCTTTGGGCTCTATCCTATCGTTTACTCCCTACCCCACCCACCTCCCTATTTTCTGCATATAAACTGACATTTTCCCAGCCACCATCAGTTCTGAGGAAGTGTCACCGGACCTGAAATGTTAACTCTGTTTTCTCCTTCACAGATGCTGCCAGACCTGCTGAGCTTTTCCAGCAACTTTGTTTTTGACCTGAAACATTACCTTGGTTTTTCTCACAACTGCTGAGTATTTCCAGCATGTTCCGTCCTTATTTCAGCATCTGCAGCATTTTGCTCATGTTCGAGTTACCAAATCCTGCATCGCACTTGCATATTTTCCAAAAACGCCTGTCCTTCTTTTAAATTACTTTTTAAATTTCAAAGAACTGAACTGATAAAGTGCTCATGCCAGGTGATCAGGTGCACGATCAAAATGTTCCAAGAAGGTGGTGAACAATTCTGGCCTTAATATGATGAAGGCTCCATTCTGCAAGTCCTTCTGTGACCATTCACCTACAATTTTGGTTCCCCAAAGTAGTCACTAACTCTGCACTTCCTCCTGCAGGACAAAGAGACCCAGTTCACCCAGAAGAGGGCACATAGGATGGGCAATTCCTCACATCACTGCCTCCTCAGTGGCTGGAGTTTGCCCATTGGTGAAGAGGGGCTGTGCGCCATGGCACGCAGTAAGGGTGGACCAGAGGGGAAGCAATGGCCGAGTGGTATTAGCAGTGGATTGTTAATCCAGAGACTCAGATAATATTCTGGGGACCCAAGTTCAAATCTCGCCATGGCAGATGGTGGAATTCAAATTATAGGTCCAATGATGACCATGAATCAATTGTCAATTGTTGGAAAAATCCATCTGGTTCATTAATATCTTTTAGGGAAGGAAACTGCCATCCTTATCTGGTTTGGTCTCCAGACCCACAGCAATATGGGTGACTCTTAACTGCCCTCTGGGATGGGCATTAAATGCTAGCTTGTCTAGCAACATCCTCATCCCACAAAATGAATAGAAAATGAAGACAGCAGTGAGGAAGTAGGGTGAACCATTATGCTGGTACTACCATGAAATCTGAAGCCCACAAACTGTGCGATTCTGATTCACATTCTGTTTATCCTTCACACATGGGTCATCACACCTTATCCTTGAGGGAACATCAGCGACAGTGAACCGATTTAAAAACTTCAGCCATAATCCCATTCCTCTGATACGGGACATAGTGCCTTCCTGATCAGTGATCCCAAAGCATCAGAGCAGGATAATGAGGTGACTAACAAAACATTCAGCAAGAGTGGTGAAATCTCCCTTCATTACAAGGCAGGTATAAGTAAATTGACCTTTTATTTGTAAGGGAGCACTTAAAGGGTTAACCACATTCACCATATTCCCACCCCCATTATCATTCCAAACTTCCAATTAAAATATGCAGGATGAAAGCACCTGAGAGCTCTTTATACAAGAGAATTTTAATGAAGAAAACACTCAGTCCTTACCTAGGAAAGCAGAAATACTCAACATGATCCCAAACACGCATCGCTCAGGTGGAGTTGTGCCGGTGTCACTGTGAGGGATAAACATAAGGTGATGAGAACTTGGCTCCAACTGGAACTGCCACTAGACAGAGAGAGACAGACAGAGACAGACACAAAGATGACACACCGTCTGTTTGATGAAATGAGTTAGTGCATCACCAAGCAGGTATCATCGCTTCAAATGCATCATATAGGAACTAACAATGTAGGGCAGCAGCACATTGTCCAGACAAACTAACAGAACCAGAAATAAATTAGCAAGTCATAGAGGTTTACACCATGGAAACAGGCCCTTTGCCCCAATTTGTCCTTGCCTCCTAGTTTTCACAATTAATCTAGCCCCATTTGCCTGCATTTGGTCCATACCCACTGCCCAACCCCCCACCTATCCCATCCATGTACCTGTCCAAACGTTTCTTAAATGACAAAATTGTACTCACTTCCACCACTACCTCTTGCAGCCTGTTTCAGACACTCACTACCCTCTGTGTGGAGAAAAATGCCCCTCTAGACCCTTTTGTATCTCTCCCCTCTCACGTTAATCCTATGCCCTCTAGTTGTTACACTCCCCTGCCGTGGGGAAAAGCTGTTAGCTATCTACCTTATCTACGCTTCTCATGATTTTATAGGTCTCTATAAGGTCACCCCTCAGCCTCCTACGCTCCAGCAAACAAAAGTCCCAGCCTGTAAAGGCCCTCCTTATAACTCAAACCTTTCACACTCATTAATAGTCTGGTCTGATGAAACGTTTTTGACCTAAAACATTAACTCACTCTTTGCAGGGGCCTGCTGAGTACTCCCAGCTTGCTTTGTGTTTCAGATTTCCAGCATCTGCCATATTTTATTTCTGTTGCCATTAATAGCCTGTCTGTTTGTACAGTGTAAAACGTTTGCGCCCAAGACCCCAGTTATTATACCCAGCTCTCCCAATAACCAGTGATCTAATGTGCATTACAATGAAGAGTTTACACTGGGTAATTAGAGAATAGTGCTGTGCCACAAGAGAAAGAGTCTGATCAATCTACATCATTGTAAACTGGAAGACAGAACTTGAGAGTGTACCGATAAGTTTTTATTAGCCACATGCCTCAGGATTATTTTAAGCACTGCCAGATGTTGAAGTTTCACATCCTGTTAGATCCAGGTGGTGTGGAGTTTGAAGCTCAGAGGTTGGCAGTGTGGTGTTTCAAACTAGTTCAGCCTCACTGCTCTCAGATGATCTCAGTAACAATGATGGGTTCAATGGTGTCTCCACCACCCCATTCAGTGGCCAGCAATTTTGTCTACTCTCAATTCAAACCCACCGCTCCCAAGGCTTCCATACACTTTGTTTGTTTTAAACGGATTTCTCAACTTTTAATGCTCCCTTCAAAGATTCGTAGTAGACAGCAGCAAATCTCCCAGTTCCTGTAGGTTTTTAAAACTGCATTATTCCATTTATACTGTTTATCCACATCCTTCGAGATCAAATTATTTCACTTCATAGATATTGTATTAAACTACATCTGCCACACGTCTGCCCATTTCACTAGGTGTGTCTGTATCCCCCTGAACTTGGTTACTACCCTCCTCATTATTTAGAACATTTCCAAAGTTTTGTGCCATGTGTAAACTCTGCAATTAAGAAGTTTATACCCCTATCCAGGCCTTTGATCGATATCAAAAAAGAGCACAGCAGTGCCCTTACAGCAATCCCCGGGAATCATCATTCTGCGCTTTCTTCCAGCCTGAAACCACCTTTCACCGTGACTCTCTTCTTTCTATACCCGAGCCAATTTCGCAAATACCAGTGAAGCTGCTGCACTTTAAATCCACTTTAGTTTTGGTCACTGCTCTTATTATGCAGCACTTTATTGTATGTTCTTTCAAAGTCTATACAGAGAAAGTCAACCTTCCATCCTTTCTGTTTCAAAGAACTCCAACTCGACAAGCTACTTGCATGACCGACTGCACACTGCCACAGTCAAATCTAGCACAGCAACTGGTGACGTTTACATTTCAAATTAATTAATAAAATTCAATCTATAAAGGCGGAATTGAAAGCTAGTTTCAGTAATGATGATCATGAACTATTGTGTGTTTTACAAAACAATCTTATTCAAATATGCTCTTTAGGAGAAGAAATCTGCCTTTTACTTTATTATAGAAACACAGACCGTACAGGACAGAAGAGGCCCTTCAGCCCATTGAGTAGGAATCACTAGCAAGGCTGGTATTTGTTGCCCATCCCCAGTATCCCTTTAACCGATTGTCCCCTGGGAGACACCTAGAAAGCTAATTAAGAGTCAACCACATTGCTGAGGGACTGGAGTCACACAGACCCGTCCAGGGCATGACAGAAGTTTCCATCCCTAAAGGTCATGAATGAACCAAATATTTTTTACCCCCCAAAACAATCTACTGTAGTTACAAAGTAACCATTAGGCTAGCTTCTAATTCCAAATGTTAATCAAATTCAGATTTCACCATCTGCCGTGGCAGAATTTGCGACTACATCCGCAGAACATTAGCCATGGTCTCTGGACTATTTATTCAGTGACATTACCAGAAACTCCTCTTATTGTTACCAGAAATGTCTGGCCTTTATGAGACTCCTCACCCACAGTATGGTGGTTGACTTTAACTCTCCTCTTAAACAGCCTAGCAAACTACTCGGGGTTTTTGAAATTAATTCATGGGATGAGGATGTTGCTGGCTAGACCAGCATTTATTGCGTGTCCCTAGTTGCCCTTGAAAAGGTGATGGTGATCTGCCTTCTTGAATCACTGCCGGTTGATCCACAGTGCCATTAGGGAGAGAATTCCAGGATTTTGACCCAGTGACTGTGAAGGTACAGTGATATATTTCTAAGTCAGGACGGGGAGCTGCTCGGAGTTGAACTTGCAGGTCGTGGTGTACCATTGCATCTGCTGCCCTTGTCCTTCCAGATGGAAGTGGTTGTGGGTTTGGAAAGTGCTGAGGATCTTTGGTGAATTTCTGCAGTGCATCTTGTAGATAGTACACGCTACTGCTGCTGCTAAGTGTTGTTGGTGGAGGGAGTGGATGCTTATGGATGCAGTGCCAATCAAGTGGGCTGCTTTGTCCTGGATGGTGTCAAGCTCCTTGAGTGTTGTTGGAGCTGCACCCATCCAGGCAAGTGGGGAGTATTCCATCACACTCCTGACTTGTGCCTTGTAGATGGTGGACAGGCTTTGAGGAGTCAGGAGGTGAGTTACTTGCCGCAGTATTCCCAGCTTCTGGCCTGCTCTTGTAGCCACTGTGTTTATGTGGGGAGACCAGTTGGGTTTCTGGACAATAGTAACTCCAAGAACGTTGATAGCGATGGAGTCAGTGATGATAATACCATTGACTGTCAAAGGGAATGGTTAGATTCTTTCCTATTGGAGATGGTTATTGTTTGGCACTTGTTCTTTCCAGTTAGAGTCATACAGCATGGAAACAGACTCTTCGGTCCAACTCATCCCCGGCAACCAGGTTTCCTAAACTGAACTAGTTCCATTTGCCCTAAATCCCTTTAAACCTTTCCTATCCATGTACGTGTCCGAATATCTTTTAAATGTAATTGTACTCGCCTCAGCCATTTCCTCTGGCAGCTCGTTCCATTTACGCACTACACTCTGTATGAAAATGTTGCCCCTCAGACCACTTTTAAATCCTCCCCTCTCACCTTAAGCCTATGCCCTCTCATTTTGGACCCCCCTACCATGGGGGAAAAGGCCTTAGCCATTCACATTATCGATGCCTCTTATGATTTTATAAACCTCTATAAAGGTATGCTCTAGGGACAGTCCCAGATATCCAGTCTCTCCTTATAACTCAAACCCTCCAGTCTCAGTTACATCCTTGTAAATCTTTTCTGCTCCCTTTCCGGTTTAATAACATCCTTCCTACAGCAGGGAGACCAGAATCATACACAGTAATGTAAAAGTGGCCACATCGATGTCTTGTACAGAAAGAGTCATATGACACAGAAACAGACCCTTTGGTTCAACCAGTCCATACCAAACATATCCCAAACTAAATTAGTCCCACCTGCCTGCGCTTGACCCATATCCCTCCAAACCTTTCTTATTCATGTACTTATCCAAATGTCTCTTAAACATTGTAACTTGTACCTGCGTCTACCACTTCTTCTGGAAGTTCATTCCACACACGAACTACTCTCAGCACAACTTGACATCCCAACTCCTACACTCAGTGCTCTGACCAATGAAGGCAAGGGTGCCAAATGCCTTCTTCACCACCCTGTCTACCTGTGACACAACTTTCAAGGAACTATGTACCCGTAGGGTTCTATTCGACACATTCCCCAGGACCCTATCTTTAAACGTATAAGTCCAGCCCTGGTTTGCCTTACCAAAAGTCAACACCTTGCATTTTCCTGAATTAAACTCCATCTGCCATTCCTCAGCCCACAGGCCCAGCTGATCACAATCTCGTTGGATTACTTCTTCACTGTCCACTATACCTGCAAACTTACTAACCATGTCTCCTATATTCTCATCCAATTAGTTTATGTAAATGACAAACAACAGTGCACCCAAACATGGCTATTGTTCAGATCTTGGTGTGTTTGACATGGACTGCTTCAGTATGAGAAGTTGTGAATGACCCTAAACGTTCTAACCTTATGATGGAAGGTCATTGATGAAGCGGCTGAAGATGATTGGGCCTAGGACACTACTCTGAGGAACTCCTGCAGAGATGTCCTGGAGTTGAGCTCAGAACCATCTTCCTATGTGCCAGGAATGATTCTAACCAGTGGACAGCTTTCTCCCAATTCCCATTAACTCGAGTTTTACTAGGGCTCCTTGATGTACCCAGTTAAAATGTGACCTTAACGTCAAGGTAGTCACTCTCACCACAGCTCTGTTGTAACCCAACATGACAGAAAACTCAAAAAGAAGTGAAACCAGATGGACAACCCAGCATCAACCTAAGCACTGCTAACAATGACAAACCCAGCATTGTCAACCCTGCAATGTCCTCCTTATTACCATCTAGGGGCTAGTAGCGAGAGAGCTGTCTC